AAGAAGTTTGAACAAGTCTTTGTGCGGCTGAGGACACAAACCTGAAGTACCAAAACATCTCAATCTCTTAAGGGACACTTAGGACACCACATCCTCAACACAGAATGAAGCTGTTTGTTTACCTCCTCCTACTGGACAGTTGCAAATTCTCTGGATCTTATCCATTCAAATTAGGGTAGGATCTAGAATAGCCAGTGTGATACAGATCACCAGCCAGGGTCATTGCTGATTCAGCTAGGAAAGCTGTAGGACCACATGCACCAAAATATAAAGCACCTTAACTTTACCACTGCAGATAAAGTTGCAATACTCCATAGGATTTATTTTTTTAAAGTCTTTGCTGCTTCTGATGTGTTGGTGAGAAGTCTGCAATTAACAGCCAGGAAGAGGCATCATTCCAACAATTTCCAAAACACTTATTGCCTCAAACATGGTATCACCTATTCCTTTGTCAAAGCATCCCAAATACCAAACATGGGAAACAATTTTGCAACACACAAATCAATTCACCAAGAATGGGGACTAAGACTGGCAGCTCTCACACAGACCTCTTAACCAATAATCTCTACTGCTACCATGTCACCTTAGGTAAGACATTAATTTTTAAAAGCCAAATATTTTGATTATTGCCTGTCTTTTAATATCATCAAGGTTCTTTAGAACTGAGATTGGCAGAAGATCCCACCTTATGGGAAAGTGACAGGTTAAATGCCCAGCAAAGAAGAAAAACCTAAACAACATTAGCAAAGATATTCTCCCTAAAACTGGAGAATTATTTCAGTCCTGAGCAAGCAGGTACTTTCCTCACCTCAATTCTATCACTCCCTGATCAGTGCAATTCCTCCAGAAATATGCCCCTCCTCTCTGCTGCCCCTCAGGAATTCCCTTCATCCTTCTTCAGAAGAAGAGTCACTATGAATGAATGACATCTCCCTAAGAATATCAAACCACGTTATCAAAATGTTATCACAAACAGGAATTAAAATAGGCAGTATTTGTCATTTCAATCTGTTAAATACAGAATAAACACTGTATTAACATGACACAACCAGTCCCCACCCTGACCTCTTAAATTACATGTCATGCCTCTTCTCACCCTCTTCCTTCCCTTTTACTTCATGAATTCTCCAGAGCAGGAATTCAGCCTTCTTTTCTGCTTAGGGACAGTCATACACACATTGTGTAGATCCAGAAATAAATAATGAAATTGAATTTTGTTCCAGGGGTTGTTTCTTTCCAGGCCACCACTCCAGACTCTGTAGCAGCTGAAAAACTAACCTAGAATTCAGATTATCCAGCAAGCAACTGTATCCTGATCAACAGCTCAGCAAAATCACAGCAGTGCCCCACTCCTGCTAGGCTGACAGTTCCTTCTTGAGTGATTTTAAGATCCAGTCTTGCACTACTAAAAACCCACTGATCTTAATTCCAGTAAGGCTGCTTCACTCTTCCATCTATTTGCACTAAAGGATCCTCCATTTCCTCAAGGCACTGTTCTTCTTTTTCCACTTCCCCCCATTAAAAAAAAATCACAGCAAGCCATGAAGAGTAGGGCTGAGACATCATGAAGTAGGAAGCTATGACATCACATAAACCCCCCACACACCAACACTGAAACTGACTTGTTTAGAAGGAAAGCACCTGCTTAAATTCAGCATCCCTCAAAAAAATTAGGAAGGAAGCAAAGCCACACATAGGAAATTTTTTCTGTCCTGCCCTTACCAGTTCTGTGAAGAGACATCAAGAGCCGTCCCGGAGCCCACAGCCAGTGCCTGCAACGAGATTTAAATCCGCGTGACTGTGGCTCTTTGCTTCCTTGGACTTACATCAGCAGGTACGAAGAATTACATCTGCCTCCTGCTCTCCTTCTAACATTTATTACAGCTGACAATCACAGGGCCTGCAGCACGTCTATTTGTGCCCACTGCCTAGAGGATACTGCCATATTTCCATCTGTGTTTCGTGAGTGCTCCTTTCCCCCAGCCAGACAGGAGACAGACAGTCTCTCCTCCGGGGCACCTCCGAGAAGGCGCAGGCGTGCAGAGCAGCCGAGTATGGCACAGCAGGACCCGCGGGAGTCATAGGCACGGGGGGCAGGAGAAGAGGCGGGTGAGAGGAGAGGCACGTCCCGGGGAGCAGGGGGAG